TTCTGACAGTCCACTTTGCCACTTTTTAAAATCCGATTGATTTCAGACTTGGTACATACTTAGACCACCACCCACAGATGTTCCTAGAAGAAATTTGTGATCGTGACGTCATCAGGTGTCAGGTTACGTCACATTAAAGATGCATTTTTCCCCATATGTTTTGTACACGTTTTAAAACACTTCAGTTTGGCATCTTCGTTAATCCGATCAACTTTAAACTTGATTCATAGTTAGACCACCACCCACAGATGGTCCTAGACGAAATTCGTGATCGTGACGTCATTAAGTGTCAGGTTACGTGACATTAAAGATGCATTTTTCCCCATAGGGTTTGTACATGTTTTAAAACGCTCCATTTCGGCACTTTCGTTAATCCGATCAACGTTACACTTAGTACACACTTAGACCATCACCCACCGGTGGTCCTTGAAGAAATTTGTGATCGTGACGTCATCAGGTGTCACGTTACTTTACATTAAAGATGCATATTTTCCCCAAAGGTTTTGTACACATTTTAAAACGCTCCACTTTGGCACTTTCGTAAGTTTGATCGACTTAAATACTTAGTACACACTTAGACCACTACCCATAGATGGTCCTAGAAGAAATTCGTCATCTTGGCGTCATGAGGTGTCAGGTTACATCACATTAAAGATGCATTGTTTCCCTATTGGTTTTGTATACGTTTTTCTTTAAAGAAACTTCGGAAATACAAGTCTGATTGGGTTAAAACTTGGTATGCATATTCACATGGATGTGTTATAGATAGAAATTGAAGTGAAATCATCATCAAATGTCATGTGAAGTCCCTTAAAGGCGAATTTTATTCTTTTATAGGTCTATATCTACAGAACTAAAATGTTCGATTTGGTTGTAACTTGAGATGTACATAATTAGCTGTTTCGGTGACACACCGAAACAGCTCTTGTTTTCGTTAAGATTTTTTTTTTTCTTTTTTTTTTTTTTTCTCCTTTTTCAGACTTTTTCTCCATAAGTTTAACACACGTTTCTTCAGCCAGTCCACTTTGCCACTTTTTTAAATCCGATCGATTTCAGACTTCGTACATACTTAGACCACCACCCACAGATGGTCCTAGAAGAAATTTGTGATCGTGACGTCATCAGGTGTCAGGTTACGTCAAATTAAAGATGCATTTTTCCCCATATGTTTTGTACACGTTTTAAAACACTCCAGTTTGGCATCTTCGTAAATCCGATCGACTTTAAACTTAATTCATACTTAGACCACCACCCACAGATGGTCCTAGACGAAATTCGTGATCGTGACGTCATTAAGTGTCTGGCTACGTCACATTAAAGGTGCTTTTTTCCCCATAGGGTTTGTACATGTTTTAAAATGCTCCATTCCGGCACTTTCGTAAATCCGATCGACGTTACACTTGGTACACACTTAGACCATCACCCACAGATAGTCCTAGAAGAAATTCGTGATCGTGACATCATAAGGTTTCAGGTTACGTTACATTAAAGATGCATTTTTCCCCATAGGGTTTGTACACGTTTTAAAACACTCCAGTTTGGCATCTTCGTAAATCCGATCGACTTTAAACTTAATTCATACTTAGACCACCACCCACAGATGGTCCTAGACGAAATTCGTGATCGTGACGTCATTAAGTGTTAGGTTACGTCACATTAAAGGTGCATTTTTCCCCATAGGGTTTGTACATGTTTTAAAATGCTCCATTCCGGCACTTTCGTAAATCCGATCGACGTTACACTTGGTACACACTTAGACCACTACCCACAGATGGTCCTAGAAGAAATTCGTGATCGTGACATCATAAGGTTTCAGGTTACGTTACATTAAAGATGCATTGTCCCCATAGGGTTTGTACACGTTTTAAAACACTCTACTTTGGCACTTTCGTAAATGCGATTCATGTTAGACTTGGAACACTTCTATACATGTATGTCTGATTGACTTTACACTTGTCAGACACTAGTAAGACCAGCAGCCTAAGGTGGTCCCCAGTGAGTTCATAACGATGACGTCATCATGTGTCACGCGACGTGACATTAAATGAGCATTTCTTCGAATCGCTATAACTTCGAAAGTACAAGTCCGATTGGATTAAAACTTGGTATGCACATTCACAGGGATGGTTTATAGATGAAAATTGAAGTGACGTCGTCATCAAATGTCATGTGACGTCCCTTAAAGGGGCATTTTATTCTTTTATAGGCCTATATCTACAGAACTATAATGTTCGATTTGGTTTTACTTGACATAATGTGCTTTTATAGATGACATATACAGTGACGTCACTGATTGTTCGTCACGTGCACAGAGTATTTCAAATATCCGAAACAGCTTGTGTTTGTCCACAAACACATTTCTAGTTTTCAATTTATATTCATTTAGGCCCCCCCAAAAAAGTTCTGCTTCCAGTTTCCCTACCTACCCTATTCTGACAGCCCCTACCCCATTTTTTTTATGGGAAAAATGAGAATAAAAAAAACCCCAAATACTATCTTTTATCCTTGACTACACGCAGACGCCTCCTTATGATTGTACACAAAAAAATTTGCCCCCCCCCCAAAAAAAATCCCTACCTACCTGCCCTATTTTCCAATGCCATTTAATTTGGAGCAGAACTTTTTTTTTTTGGCCTTATCATTGCACTTCCGGTAACCCTGGAAAAAAAGGCAAGAAATCACCTCAAAAAAAAATGAGCAATGCACTCACACTGTATTTTGTCAAATTCTGAACTTGTAATTTGTCCTAATTTGCTTGTAATTTGATGTTATGACCTCATGATGAGGTTACGATTGTATGAATATATTTGTTTCAGGGTTGATTTTCATAGTAAATTTCAAGTTTGTGCATTGTTCTGCTTAAAAGAAAAGCAGCACTGAGTTGTCTTTAGAAAAAAAAAAAAACACCAAAAAAGAAAGAAGAACCAAAGCAAAACCAAAGGATGATAGGGGATGAGTCCCATTACCCAATATGGATCCAATTCTAGTGGACAGCAGACAACATTGATTTAAAGTACTAGTTTAATTTGATTATTAGTTTTAATCTCAGCAAAGGAATTAAAACAAGAAGCAGAGTACGTGTTTATAGGTGACAGTGCATGCTAGTGGCCAAGTAAAAAAAAAGGAATGGAGTACATGTACATAATTACTCCAAAAGTCTCCTAATCCTAAAGTTTTCTGAATTCAAAAACATTCATAACAGAAGAAGTGAGAAAATGTTGGAGTAGAAAGTCACAAAACCTCAATGAATCGGTGTCACAGAATAAGTAAATTCCATTATAAAAGAATGTTCTTTGAACATCATTCATAGTGCGGGTACATACTTGCGGACACGATGAAACCCAGCATCAGTGTCACAGTGCACTAGATTCTGCAAGCACGCTGCTGAATGGAACACTGCCATGGCACTAGTCGGGTTCATGCTCGCCCCCATACTTCTGGAGCTATATCAGCTCAATGGCCGTCCCTATGAACCGCTCCCTGCACAATTCTTGGATACTTCTAAAAAGGACTCAGCTTGCCAGCAGCTGACTTAACAACATGAATTATCCATCAAATCCACCCCTTTCCTCTCTCGTGTCCATCGTCATGGACGTCGCCATTTTTGCAATCTTGACTAAAGCGTGTTTCCTAAACCCCACTATTTCTTTACACTAGTTGACCAGATGAGGACCAGACTACTTCTTTGCAAGACATCTTTGAAAACTAATTTGTAGTATTATTCGTGGCTATTCTTATATACTTTTGGAGATTTGTAACTCATTCGTGGTAGAAATCTCTACGAATTTGCTACGAATGTCCTACGGATATGCCAGGATTCTGGTAAGGTTGTACTACGAATACGGTATGTATGCTTTATTCGTAGAATCTAGGGCATCTGTGGCCCAATTGCAGACAACCGTGGCATTAACGTCATAATTCTTAGTAGTACCCTCGAAATTCCTCAACAATCCATCCATATTCTTGACAAACTGTGGTGTATTTGTAGAGAAACCTTAGGACAGTCGTGGCTATCCATCTTGATCCACGAATCTCAACAGTTCATCATGATTGATTGATTCTTGGTAAATTGTGGATATTCGTAGCTCCAACCGTAAATGTGTGACTGGGGCTTAAGCAAATAAAACAAATCTAGTTTCATAATACAATGTACATGCCGCTAGTGGGCATTCCCTCGAGTGATGAAGACATCACGACATTTTTATGTGCATCCCCACTGATCGTTTTCAATTTATATTCATTTAGGCCCCCCCAAAAAAGTTCTGCTTCCAGTTTCCCTACCTACCCTATTCTGACAGCCCCTACCCCATTTTTTTTATGGGAAAAATGAGAATAAAAAAAACCCCAAATACTATCTTTTACCCTTGACTACACGCAGACGCCTCCTTATGATTGTACACAAAAAAATTTGCCCCCCCCCCAAAAAAAATCCCTACCTACCTGCCCTATTTTCCAATGCCATTTAATTTGGAGCAGAACTTTTTTTTTTGGCCTTATCATTGCACTTCCGGTAACCCTGGAAAAAAAGGCAAGAAATCACCTCAAAAAAAAATGAGCAATGCACTCACACTGTATTTTGTCAAATTCTGAACTTGTAATTTGTCCTAATTTGCTTGTAATTTGATGTTATGACCTCATGATGAGGTTACGATTGTATGAATATATTTGTTTCAGGGTTGATTTTCATAGTAAATTTCAAGTTTGTGCATTGTTCTGCTTAAAAGAAAAGCAGCACTGAGTTGTCTTTAGAAAAAAAAAAACACCAAAAAAGAAAGAAGAACCAAAGCAAAACCAAAGGATGATAGGGGATGAGTCCCATTACCCAATATGGATCCAATTCTAGTGGACAGCAGACAACATTGATTTAAAGTACAAGTTTAATTTGATTATTAGTTTTAATCTCAGCAAAGGAATTAAAACAAGAAGCAGAGTACGTGTTTATAGGTGACAGTGCATGCTAGTGGCCAAGTAAAAAAAAGGAATGGAGTACATGTACTTACATTCTTTGGAGGCCAGAACAGATTCTTGCAAAATAAACAAAAAAGATGACATAAAACCAGACACATCTAATACTTTTTTGAAAATTTGTCCTGACATACTTCCTCCACTAATGTTTTAATCAACAACAATGCTAATCAAAGAGTGCTATTAAAAATGTACAAAGACAAACAATTCAATAAAAAAAATATGCATTTTCTGAAAGTCTCTGGAAAAGTCAATATCATAAAAAAAATTTGAGTCCTGCCACCATATCAAAATATTATATATATTTTTACAATGTGTAGATTAATCAGGTAAGTTTTTGCGGTAGTATCATGTGGCAAAATCTCTTTTGTGTGGTTGTCAAAAGAATAAACGGTGTTAATGTCCAGACCATATGCTCTGCTCGTTGTCAGGTGAAGTGGGGTTACAATGTGCCTAAAAGCGATGAAGCGTGAGAGAGATGCAAACCAAGGGTACTCATGCAGGCCGTGGGATGCAAATGGTGAAGCGTAGGCCTGTCTGTTTACGGTTTTGACTGGAACCGGGTACCCGGGTACCCGTAAAAGCCCCCCCCCCCCCCAAAAAAAACCCCGAAAGTAAGTGTTTTCATTAATAACGCCAACCCGGAAGTAAGTGCTTTCGTTTCTAAACACCCCATTGTGTTCTATAATGCTTTCTGTGCAGGTATACCGATTTGCAAATGGGCGATTTGTCAGTAAAAAATAGGAATTGCAAATTCAATGTCTATTATATACAGCACCTGAGTTTATGAAATAAAAGAAACGTAAGGTGATTAATAAAGAGTTTAAAGACATCGATGACAAAGTCGGTGAACTTCCAAGAGCTCCCCGCTGTGTATTCTTCAGTGAGTCCATCCGGCCGTCACCTCAGCCCAGGTGGCCCACACTGACTGCAGCGCTGGTTGTAGCATGCATGCAGTGCGCGCAGCGTGGTCTGCTTACTCGGCTAGGCATGCGTACCGTACGACGACCGGTGTCATATGAAAATCAGACTCGTATGAAAATTGGACTCTTTTTCCCTTTTATTGGTTAAACCCTTTCACGTGACCAGTCCCTCTTGATTCTTTGAAGGCGTGGTTGCTAGAGGATAGGGTGAGCTACTGAATCTTTCCGTAATCAGCTCTGGAAACACTAGAGCTGGGCTGGTCACGGGCAGTAGGAAATCTGCCCCCTCCAAGGATGCAAGGGCACTGGTAGATCTAATGGGACTGATGCGGTGGCGGAGTAGGGCAGAGCATACTGTCCGAAACGTTGAGTACTCCCGGTTCTTTTAAGAACCTCACATACTCACAAGAGAGTTTTTGCCACATGGTGCTACCACAACAACTTACCTTATCATTACCCTTCACCATGCAAACCGTCAAATCTCAATGTGTAGATTCCACGTACATTTGTGTAATTGCTTATGAGTGAAATACAGTACATTTATCAATAAAACTGGAGGTCTATGTCTGTTTGAGATCTGATATACCGTGCCCTCTGGAGACGTGCACACAATAGGGAACGAAAGATTGTATGCGTCTCCACAGGGCAATTTCTATAGATGAATACCGGTACGTCTCCACAAGGTTTTCACGAAATAGATATATGGATTTTTACTCAAAAACTAGGAATTTCCAAGGTTGGTTGATGTGTCACAAATGGAAGAGTTTTAGAAAAGGGATATTACATCCGAATTTCAACCAAGAAAATTAATCTGGTTGAAATAAGAGCTTTTTGAAACTTCACTTCCAAACTCGAAAACTTTACTACCCGAGAACAAAGAAATGTCTCCACAAGGATACAAATTTCAGTTTGTGTGAACAGAACATAGGGCTTTTCCGCATTATTTATCATGAGTTTATGCTTTTATTGGCGATGTGCAGTCAAGTAAATGATAATTTCATATACAAAATGCATTTAATGTAGAATTTTGCTGTAAGCCAAAAAATACAAAACTTTAAACATTTATTAAAAATCAGTTGATGACTTCATCTTGACGTCACATAAATTTTGCATACAAGTAACATTATCTAATTCTCACTCAGTTTTATGACAATCAAACCTTCCCTTATGTGTTTTAAAATCACATTTTTGATGACGTCATCGTGACTTCACACATTTTTGTAAAACTATCTACAGGTATTTATACCTAAGGCCATCAGCCTGGGGGTTTGGTCAGTATCAAATCAGGGCATAAATGATTATAGTGCCCATGCGCAAGGTATACTGCCCCTAGAGTGGTAACAAGCATTTTGATGGACATTTTGAAAAAGGGTGATAACACCCAAAAAGCTGCCACCACTGCAATGCTATCACATATTTTCCAACTCTGGAGGTGTATACCTTGCCAAAAAACACTATATGACGATTATTCCCCTCATTTGATACCGGTGGCCAAAATTTTGGACCGAGGCTGATGGCCTATATATACAAAATTTGTTTTTGAATTTAGCATGTTATGTGCATGAAATATGGCGATAATCTTCAAAATTTCAGAAATCTATATAAAATCATGTGAAGACGTCACCTCGATTTTTCATAACACATCCCTATCTATAAACATAAAAAGTTTCAATGCAATGGTTCTCTAGAAATAGGTCTTTGAAAAATGCATTTATGATAACATCACATGGTACATGGCATCATTATGACATCACTTGTCAAGACACAACTTTGCTATAGGGACTATGTCAATGCTACTATTGAATGATGAATGACAAAGCAGAATCATCTTGAAAGACATGTACAAAGTCTATAAGATTTGGGATAGAAAAAAAGAAGAGGAAGAAGAGGAAAAGGAATGAGAACAAAAACAAAGGCTTTGCAGCATTTTTGCGGAGTCAACAGTGCAGCTTTTAGAAGTTACTCATGTCTGCATTATCGATTGAAGCACTGTTGAGAGTGAAGTGAAATGTTGAAATACTGATGTAAGAGTAAACAGTTAAGAGTGCAAATCTTACCTTACTAAGTTTCAGTAGGTCATTGAGCTCCAGCTGTTGATAGATTTGTAATCTATACTCCTCCATTTGTATCTTTTTGATCTTAGCAAGGTCATAGTCTTCAGTCTCTATGGCTCGTCGCTTCTCGACCTCGTAACGACCAAGCTTTTCTCCAACCTTAATGTATAAACATGCACAAACACACATGTTATTGGGATATGCCCATCAGCTTGATCAACATATTAAATTGGTTAGAATTGGGTGATCAAGCTGACCATCGATCTACTTTTATTTCTGTGTGATTTATAGTTAAGGTTTTTTTTTCCATTTTGTTTTATTTGTTACCACTCAAAAAATCACGGTTGAATTTATAATTATAAATGCACAACCGACAACTGTTTATTGCGACTCTCAAATTGTCGGTTGATGGTGTTGACACCCAATCACCCTTTGTTCTGTATGTCGTTTTAGTGTCTTTTTTTCCTGCCATAAGGTACTAAGGAACTTAAAACTTCAACAAACATCAAGTATAACCAGAATTTGGCATCGTATTGGTTACGTAAGAACATTATGTTAGCATACTATTCACAATACAAATTCTCAATACAATTCAATTCATACCAATGCATTTTAAACTTACGCAATAAGAAAAAGCTTGTGTATTAATTTGTACAAAACAAAGTCACTCCATTCATGCAAAATAGTGGAGCGAATTTTGTTGGCCATGTTGTTGACGATGCTTGTGACATGCTCTGGCAGCGTTGGCCATGGATTGGCCAAACAAAAGTTGGAGCCAAAACATTGTTGGTATGTTATTTACGCTTCATTGTGATTGTTTTGGTGGCATTTTCTATGGACTGGCCAAACAAAAGTGTGAGGTAAACGGGGGTACCGGTGCGGGTATTTCTAGGTATGGGGATATTAATGTACATACAATCCTATTCTCTTGAATGTACATACAATCCTATTCTCTTGACGGGAACTGAGTATTACTTAAAGGATAATGCCCAAGGTAACCGACATTTGTGGATTGGAATTTTTGCCCTCCGGCCATTCTTACCCACGAATGGCGCGTTGACCAAGCGGCATTATCCGACTTAATGCCACTTGGTGGAGTTAAGTCGGATAATGCCGCTTGGTTAACACGCCATTGTCTTTTTATGTACAACATCCAAATATTATGTGTAAATCAATGTGTCATATAAGCCCCTGCAATTTTAATGTTCCAAGAGTTATTTTCCATTAGGCATATTTATGATTGAAAGGAACAACATCATCATTGGCGGCGCCAGACTCTAAAGAAAAACTTTTGGCGGGGGGGGGGGGGGGGGGGGGGGGGGCAATTGGGGGGCAAGGAAATAACTTTTTGGGGCAGTAAAAAAATATCAAGCCTGTGTACGTGCGCGCATACCATCGTCAATGATCCGGAAATAAGCCACTAGAGCAACTTAGAAGTGTAGTCGTTTTCATGAATCAGAAATGTATCAAACTGCACAATGGTGTATAACAAATGTATTTACAGATGAACAAGGACGTTGGCTGCACACTATCAAGTATCTACAGCTGTATGAATGCATATGTGGCGTTGTTTAAGGTACCAATGTCTTAATGCTTTCATTGGCCCCAAATTTTATGAATCTGAATAGCGGAGAAAAAAAGAAAAAACCACAAGAGCTATGCCTGTTCGATGAACAAGACACAGGCATTTCCGCATTACAAATAATACGAAAAAATGTAAAAAAGTTGGTAAATTAATTGAAAAAAATAACTGCGTTGCTGTTGAAACCCCTCAGCCAGAGTCAAGTTATCATCCAGAAACCATTAACCTTTAACTCAACATGGTGACCTTGACCTTTGACCCCAGCACCAATCCAAATATGCCTGTACCAATGGGCAACCCTCTACCGAAGTTAGACACCAAAATTTCATTTCTAATTCAAGTTATCCTCCGGAAACCATTTACCTTGAACTCACCACGGTGACCTTGACCTTTGGACCCCAAAACCAATCCCAACTTGCCTACTCCCAAGGGCAACCCCCTACCAAAGTTAGACACCAACATCTCATTTCTAACTCAAGTTATCATCCGGAAACCATTTACCTTTAACTCACCACGGTGACCCTGACCTTTGGACCCCAAAACCAATCCCAACTTGCTCACTCCCAAGGGCAACCCCCTACCAAAGTTAGACACCAAAATCTCATTTCTAACTCAAGTTATCATCCGGAAACTATTTGCCTTTAACTCACCAGGGTGGCCTTGACCTTTGACCTTTTGACCTCAAAACCAATCCCAACTTGCCTACTCCTAAGGGCAACCCCCTACCAAAGTTACAATCCCAAACAACATTTCTAACTCAAGTTATCATCCGGAAACCAAGCTGCCCGGACGGACATACGGACGGACCTACGGACGCTCCAGCCAGACGGAATTGTGGGGTGATAGCATTGTGTTCCCATTATCCCTTTTTCTAAAGATTCTCTTCTGGGGTGATGTTTTTCTATTGTGAAAATAGTGGGGTGATGTGTCCTGAAAGGAACATCACCCCACAAGGGGGGTATGGTCAGAACGCACCGACATACGGACGGACGCCCTAGGCGATGACAATACCCCTCGAGCCTCTCGGCTGAGGGGTAAAAATTGGTGATGACGTCATCATGACGTCACTTCAGATTTTGCATACTATTAAGACCATCTACCTACCCACCAAGTTTCAAGATAATCGGTCTTACCCTTATAAGTGTTTTAAAAAATCACATTTTTGATGATGTCATCGTGACGTCATACATTTTTTCAAAAATAATGTGCAGATACCTATCATAAAACAAACCTAATACAAAAAGAATTTTGAATTTAGTATGTTTGAAGCCAGTCGGATGAATAAAAGTGTTAAATTTTGTAAGCAGAACAAAATTGTAAATATTTTAAAAATCATAAAAATCTACCAATGACGTCATCGTGACGTCATTTCAGATTTTGTGTACTAGTACCATTATCTACCCACCCACCAAGTTTTTACATATATGCTAGGTTTCATTAGAATACGAGTTTGTTTTAGGTCCAAAGTGCCGCGGTTAATATAACATGTACAAAGTCTATCAGAACAAAAACAATGCTTTTCCGCTTTTAAGTGGAAAAGCAATTAATCTACTTGTACATAAAGTGTTCAGGGCAAACTGGGGGGGGGGGGGGGGGCAAGGACAAAACTTGCCCCCATCCCCCCCCCCCCCTTAGCGCCGCCACTCAACATCATATGGATGAATGTTACACCTAATCAGTCTGTATTTGCAACTAAGGTAATAAATGTGTGCTTGGCCTGTTTTAAACACTTTGTTTAAGACTGGTTGGAGTCTGGTTGCTGATAATTACCCTATTACTCGGTCCGAATAAACCCAACTTATTGGTCAAAAAAAACCAAAAAAAACCCCAAATCAATTATTTAAACTTTCCAGTGATTTTACTTTCTGTTTTTCTGAAACACCCCTCTGGCTATATTATGGAATATCCATCTCGCAAAAAGTCGTTAACAACTCCTTATATGGAAATTGGCGCGCGTCGCATGTACTATGCAATATGGCACAGAACGCAGCTGTGCCGGTGTAGCATGAATATAGGACTATGAAATACTGACTCACTGGTAGTGTTAGGCATGTGCGCATGAGGATTGTGAACGTTAAACCAATAAAATGGTAAAAGGCACTGGATTTAATAGAGTCCAAATTTCATGTGAAACTGGAAACGCATTTAAGACCAGCCAGCCGGTCTGAAACGTTTAAAACAAGCTACATGATGAGCTCTCAACCAATAGGAATGAATAAACTAAGTAAAGTACATGTAAACTGTAATGTGATTACCACATCTGATCTTTATCATTTCAGTCATTGATGCAGGCTAATAATTTTGCACTGCTTTTGGGAGTTTAATTAAGACTCTATTACTGTATCTCCAGACATAGCTGAAATAAAAGTTAGACTTTACATGTACAACTTATACATGACATGTACAGTGACTCAAATGTGTCAATATACATACCTTTTGTAAATCAGCAATAGCTTGTTTTAACTTCTTTGCCAAATCGTATTGCTCCTCTGTGGGAAAAAAAAAGGTTTTGAAATACATATCTATTTTCATAATTTTTATGTGCATAAACTTGCACAAATTCTTTTTATGATAAGGGACCATTCAGAAAGTCAGTTTAATTTGGTAAACATTTAGTGACAGATGCATATTAAGATCCACACAATAAATTGTATGCACTGTTTTGGTTGACTCAATAGATAGTTGCCAATCATTGGAAAATGTTTATGTAATATCCTGTGATAAGATCAGGTATTAAGGTGCTTGTTATGCTTTGTTTAATAATTAAATGCGTCTACAGGAATTCCAGATTCTTGATAAAATAAAACTTTTTTTAATGTTGGGAATACTTGTAAATAGATTTCATTTCATAGAAAATGGTCTTTTAAAACAGTTTGCTGGAAAAGTTGGTGCAAGATGGATGATGCTGATCATGATGAGGTATAACAAACCTTAGAACCCACCGCACACCTTTCCAATTTTACTGGTTCACTGGGTCATCGGGCCATCCGACGTACAGATCAGAGAGGTGAATGTTGAAAATTGGGACCAATCTCACCGTACACCGAGCAACAGGATGAAATCAAACATGTTTGATTTTTTTCGCATGTGATTTCACCGGATCTGATGTCAATTGAAAGGTCTGCGGGAAAGGTCTGCACTCCTATTTTACTACACGCGATATACATGTTAACCAATCAGATTCACAAAGGTTTTCAAAATTGACTGCTCCCATCTTGTCATCATGTGACTGGTCATCATGTGACCGATTATAGAACGGAATCTGGCATGTGTGTGAGTAGCGTTGCGGTCTCCGCAACGGTGAGAAAAAAATGTACCGATCCGGTGAACCGGTATATCAGAAAGGTGTGCGGTGGGGTTCACTTTTCCAGGTTGTATGTTCACTTAATACCCAAAAATTGTTAACAGTGACAGAGCAAAACATGCCAATGACTCTTACGCAGTACTGCCTCATTTTTTCTGACATCCAGTTTTCTAATGACTTGTGCAACCTCTGGATCCTGGTACATATCGAAAGCTAAATCATCCATCGGAGAAATGTATTCCTTCCTGCAACATAAATCAAAAGGTCATTATAAATTTTTTTTTAAAAATCCAGTCTGTTTTCTGTATGTTGTGTAATTAGGCCTGTAGGCAAACAGAACATAAAACAGACTTGAAATGTACTTATGATAATTAATAAACCCCAAAACTTTTTTGTCTCAGCGTTTTCAATGATAGTGATTCTTTAATCATAGAGTAAAAAGTCAAATTCAAATTAGTGAAACCAATTAAAGGAAGCAGAATTATGCAACTAGTTTTGGAAGGTTTGTACAGGTTCACGTTATTTACAGTCATGGAATACACAAGTACAACCATTATTGTCATGAATATCCATGACAGCACATTTTCCTCTTATATTTCACATTATTAAATTACTAAAGCAAATCCAGGATGCATTGGTACATGTACTGTAGTTAATGGCTTCTATTCGTACCAATGTTACAAGATATTAAAATAAAGTTAGATTTGAAGGCTGCCAAAAGCGCACCTATTCAATAATCTAGACACACAGGTTGAGAGACAGTGTTTGATCAGTAAGAAACACAGTGGGTTCCAAATACATGTCTCCACTGTACCTGGCTGTGCCATTTAATCTGTGTACAACTTCCCAAGAAAGTACATGTATCCTCATGTAAATTTGTGCAATGGGACTTTGAAAATGCAAAACTCTCCGTAAGTGCTATTGATTTTAGAACCTTGATGGTGGTTTGAAAACTATCCACGTGATGGTCTCTCAACCAATAGGAAGGGATTCCACAATAACAGACAGCTGAAAATAAGTATTTGTTAGTGATTGCAATGACCAACCTGTTGACACCGCCAAGTACAGCTGTATCAGTCTCATTGTTGGCATGATTTGATTCTTCTGCAAAATATCCTTCTGGCATGAACTCCTTGATGACCCGGTTCACTTTATGATTGTTGTCTTCTTCAAATAGCTTCATATCTTCTTCTGATGTGATCTCATCACCAATAACATTGATGGCAATCAGGCTCACCTGCATACATCACATTTCAAGGTGAGCGATAAAGATTTAATTTACTTAACACTCAAGGGGCTGGTTTTTTAGGGACCATCGCGAGGAGGGGGGGGGGGGGGGGGGATTCCGCCTCCCCCATCAGAACTCGGGCATGAAGCGACTAAATGGAATTAAATTTGGCACACATACAGCGTTCAATTACTTCCCTCATGCTTACCCGTACAATGCACTTTTGTTTTGGGTATGCACATGTGCAAGCTGTACATTTGCAATGGATTTCAGCCGTCAAAAGCGAGCCATGGTGGCCACTGTACATGCTCTTCCAAAGTGAACAAGAAATGCCGAGTATGTAAAAATTACTTTAACTTTCCTCCTGTCGTCTAGAAGTACTAGTGTGAAGTGAAGCTGAGACACTTTTGAATTCCCCGCTGCCACAGCGTTAGACTTAGCCACCATGTTTTCGCATTGTATTGTGGGATACTTACCTAAATAACTGGCTCAGTGGGTCGGTTACTTGGACCAGGCTCGAGTAAGCGCGAGAAGTCATGTGAGAGTTAAATCGAACGCAGTGGCAGTTGCACGAGTAAGCGCGGATATGTAATCGAACGCGATAATAATAAAGTGAGAGAGAGAGTAATAAATAGTATACAAATCCTAGAAACTAGATCGAGGCGCTATGGAACAATGGATATATTTCTCGCGACAAGTAGAGCAATGTTAAATCTGAACATAGTCACAGAATTTGATTTTCATAAGACAAACTGTTTTTCAATTATTGAATTTGCCAGTTTGCACACTGTTACCACAGCAAGCTGTGCTATCCATGTAGTATGTATAGGGAGAAATGTGCGCAGCCTCAAATAATGTCACGCGGTGACGCTAAGGTCAATTTTCATAAATTTGGTATCAAAATGTGCGCCAGACTAGAAGCTAAAAAGTCATGAAAGCTCATAACAAGAAATATTGCTAAAACAGTGCATCCCCCTCAGTGACTCGAGACTCAGACTTGGACTTGACTCAAGTGACTCGACTTCAACACAGGTAGACAATGCAAACATTTGAATGCCTTTATCAATAGAAGGCTAAACCAACAATAAGCTTGTCAAACACGACACAGTAAGCCTGGAACCTGGTCCCAGAGCACATCATTTTTGTCCCCAATCGATTCAGAATGGCTATTCACTGGAAGCCTTTTTATGCATTTGGCATGGGCAGGACTTAGTCCATTCACTGGCATTATTTTTGGCATTCATTAACGCCATTCTATTTCAAACTACAGTCGACTCCCCTTGGTACGAAATCCACGGGACCCAGTGAAAATGTTTGTTATATCCGAATTTTGTATTATCCGATGCAATGGTTTCCAACCCATTGTTCCCTTTTGTGTAAGCCCTATGAGCGTGCACGATGTTCACGTGCGTAATCAAAGCGAAATAGAACATCGTGTCGGGTGTGTAGAACTATCAAACAAAATAATTATTTAAAAAGGGTTTGCGAAAATATGTAAAATGTATGGTACATATATTCTTATTGTGATATGTAAATAAACAAAATATACGAAAATGAAATAAAGTTATGAAAACCTCGAGGGTTGAAGATGGAGTCAACGTATCGACTGCCGGCGGAAGTGAGACGACCGAATCAACCTGAGCATAATTGTACAACGTAAGTAAACTCTTCTGCACAAATTGTGTCGTGGAGATAGACATTCCTAATTTATTTTTATACAATGTACCTTTCGTCTTTCAATGTTTGTAGTCTTTCCAGCAAAAATTACATCCTAGAGACCTTCAGACCTTGGTTCATTTGTACATGTAATTTTCACGTGCTGATCCCAAGTCCAAACTTGTTTGCTTGCTTGTACCAGTTCAGAGCCAGCTGATGAGAAAGCGCCCTCATGAGACAGTTTCCTGAGCAATGATGTCATAATGGTTCATCATGATTGGATCTTAATGTCTGACGAAATTTTTGTCACAGAAGCAACGTGAGCTAATTGGCTTGCACCATATTTTACCAACAATCCTGTGCGTATGGTCTACATAATGCAGTGACGAGACGATCGGTTTCTTCCCAGCGGTTGCCTTTTCAAAATGTTAGAGAACAGGAAGGGCTGATATCTTCCTTTCGGTGCATGTTGCAAAGGCAATGCTAGGATATTGAATTCACAAGATCTTGCAAGAATTATTTTTGTGGTATGGGCTAAAATGATAGTTAGGGTATAAGTTTGGGAGTTCATGTTTCTAAGTTTGGATTTGGTTCAATCAGGTTACGAACATGAACGTAACTTTTCAAATAGACTTTTTTTTTAATGGCGAGGAAATCGTTTAGGGGTAATAAAGGGTTGGTGGAAAATTGTTGATCTGGTGTGTTTTCATTCTTTATATTTAATTGTCAATATGCCAATCTATTTTTTTAACTAAAAAAGCCATTTGGATTTGTTGGGTTGGCTTTATAATTCACTGAAACCTGCGTCGGACAAACTTGTCCTAGCAGCATGTCCACGTAGATCTCGTCGTCCATGTCAGCTTGGGTGCAGATCAGATGTCACGTACTTAGTGACGGTGACTGTTTCGGGCTTGTGGTTTCTTCTGTTGCCGTCTGGGTGTCATTGTATCATGGTATCATCAGCACATTTTCACAGGCCTTTGTTGGTAACCACAGTGCGCGATTAGTGAACGTACGGTACCACAGTGTCGGCAAGATTAAAAAACTGACTTAAACCATTGATGACTGTAATTATGCTGCTTTCAGATTTAATTTTTTTTCGTAATAAATGGGTCACTAACAATGCTTTTGAATACAACGGGGTCGCCAAAACCTTTCGTTGTAACAGAAATTTTGCACTGTCCGATTTCGTCTTAAGCGAATATCTCCCAAAAAGAAATGTGCACAATTTTGCCGGGAACGAATATATGTGTTTGTTATAACCGGAATTTCATCCTAACCGTTTTCGTTATAACGACTGTATATAGTCAAGTTGAGACTTGAGCAAGTCTAGTTCACAAATGACAGTGACTAAGTTTGTGGTTGCACTGTATGACAAGTTTGTTAGGTTCTGAAAAGAACCAGGGAAACCCAATGCTTCAGACAGTATGATATGCCTACTGACGATGGACAGTCTCCTGCTTATTGCTTATTTCATGGTGAAAACCTTCCAAAATTATCAGTCAGTGAGTGAGTCAGTCAATCAGGTACAAAAAGAACTATGTTGGCCACTCTTGGACCAGCAAAAATACAAGAAAACTGAATGCTAGAATCAGCTATACCTACCTGATTGTACACATTGTACTTGTTGACATGATTTTTGTGAATAACAAGTCGCAGGTATTGGCCAACAGCATCTACATGGACAGACTTCAACTCTCTGGCTTTGTAACCAGTCTTGGAGTTATCAGACATACCTACATATCTGTTGGCAATCACAGAGAAATAAGCAAATACAACATGAGACATGAATGTTGTACAATTAAAATATATTTTGAAGGGTACACGAATTGAAAATGTATATTTTTAAATACTTGATGTATATTTTTAATAATTGGCAGCAAAGCAAGATAACAATCATTATCATTCTGAACAAAATGTCTGTACTGTCCTACCAGTGTAGAAAGATACTAAATCATGTCACTGCACTTTTGAACTCCTACGCCATATTTGTAGACGATAATGTTCAGTACTGTAAGCAACAGCATAGTGCCTTTTCAGGGAAATAAGATCTGTGATCACGTGTACTTTGGCAATTCAATATTGCTGGGGTACGGTATGTTATTTTTCTATGGATGAGAAAAGATTGCCGTGTCAGTTCAACAACGTTGTATCTCCATGTGCATAGTGTAAAGTGCTATATCTACAGAACTGTAAGTCCGGTTGGGTTGAAACTTGGTATGTAAGTAGACCGGGATGTGTTATAGATGAAAATTGCAGTGACGTCATGATGACGTCAACATGGGTTACGTGACGTCATCCTAAATGTGCATATTATAAAGTCCAATATCTAGAGAACTGTAAGTCCGATTGGGTTGAAATTTGGTATGTAGGTAGACCGGGATGTGTTATAGGTGAAAATTAAGGTAACATCATCATGATGTCATCATTGGTCACATGACGTCATCCTAAATGTGCATATTGTAAAGTCCTATATCTAGAGAACCATAAGTCAGATTGGGTTGAAACTTGGTATGTAGGTAGACCGGGATGTGTTAAAGGTGAAAATTAAGGCGACATCATCATGACGTCATCAGGGGTCACGTGACGTCATCCTTAATGTGCATATTGTAAAGTCCTATATCTAGAGAACTGTAAGTCCGATTGGGTTGAAACTTGGTATGTAGGTAGACCGGAATGTGCTATAGATGAAAAATTGAAGTGATGTCATGATGATGTCATCATGGGTTACGTGACGTCATCCTAAATGTGCATATTATAAAGTCCTACATGTATATCTAGAGAACTGTAAGAAATCAACCGTACGCGTCCTCAGCATTCTGTTGCCGGCAAGTGGTAGAGTAGGTTGAGGTCTTTATTTCATTCAGTGTGCGTGAAATCACGTGACCCTTGCTTCCGGTCGAAAAAGGCCAAAACCAGAAGTGGCTTATTATTTGAAAGTGGTAATAGATATGAACTTGCTTTCAACGGTGTTAGTCTCTTGGCTAAAAGTATTCTTCAAATCATCTACCGATGACGTCATGCAATCTTCGAGCGCCCTCTAGCGACAGGTTGAAAATTTGCAAAAATGTATTTTGAACAGATGTCTGTGGCGAAGTTTGTCGGAATCGCCTAAATATTGGTGTATATGATGACCTTGACCCACTTAAGACGTGTGCGAAGTTTTAGGCGAATGACGTCATCAGACCGGAAGTTATAATAAAAAGACCCTTTTCCATTTGAAAATTCCTAAAAAATCAACCATGGCAGTTTTTATGTTAGTTTTTACTTTAATTGTCGATTTAAGGGTAGGTCTAAAACATTTCAAAGCTTGGAGGCAATAAGCGAACTCGAACATGCTCTGCGCACGCTTAAAACTTCAGGTTGACAATACCTCTGCTCTAAAACATGCACAGAACGTCTATATGTACATACACGTACGTTACGCACATACATGTACATCGTATGTCAGTCAGCCTGCAGAGCACGTGTTGCCCAGGTCAAATCCTGTCCACATCACAGTGACCGTTTTAGCCGATTTTCGGCTAACTTTGACAGATTTTATGTTCATGCATGCGCATAGTCAGGGACGTATAATAAAAAATCATAATGCCGAAAAGCCCTATGTTACGTATTTAAAGGTGCAGTTTTTCTGCAGTGGGATTTTCCACAAGTCTTTTCCTATACAACACTGATATCTTACTGAGTAGTTCTGAACCTCAGCCGAGAATTACTATGAGAATGAAAGAGAAATCGTATTTTTTCGCGTAGTCATTCGATTGAACATATTCCTAAGGGTCAGAATATCAAGTAATATTTCATAAAAATGTTTCAGTTCAAAGGCAAATTACAAATTTAAAGGTGCAATTTTTCTGCATTGGGATTTTTTTTAGCCCATTAACTTTGTACACGTTTTCAAGCCACCATTTCTATAACTTGGCGATCTGGAATCGTCATCAATGTTACAGCCAAGGAAGACCCTCATACAAAAATTATGCCAAGACTATGACGTCATGATGACGTCATCACCTAATTGTTTTTATTGGTTTTTGAAAATTTACGTGCATACATGTATTATGAAGTCCTATATCTACAGAACTGTAAGTCTGACTGGATGAAACTTGGTATGTGGCTAGACCGGGATGTGTTATAGGTAAAAAAAAAATTAGGTGACGCCATGATGACATCATCCGGAGATGTTATATGAATATTAGAAGTTTTTGACCTTTTAGCCATATCTCATGAACGTAACATGCAAAATTCAAAATTCTTTGTGAATTTGGTCTGTTAGGTAAAAGGTATTTGCACAAAATTTTGAAACAAATATCTGACATCATTATGACGTCACACAAATGCGATTTTTCAAAATACATATAAGGAAAGGTCTGACTGTCATGAAACTTAGTGGGTAGGTAAATAATGGTACTAGTATACAAAGTTTAAAGTGACGTCAGATGACGTCACCTTTTGGTTTTGATAATTTTTAGATATTTATAATTTTTCCACAAATTGCACACTTTCTTTCATCGGATTGACATTAAACTTGGTTCAAACCAAAATCACAATGACAAAATGTGCATTGAGAAGGGTCTTAAGGATGACGTCATTGCAGGGCAAGTGACATCATTTGATAAAATTATACTTAAGGCCCCCCAAAAAGTCTCCGGTTTCTGGTATGCGCACGCGTCGCCGTAGCCATGCGCGTCGGCAAAATGAAAAAGTTTTTTTTCAATGAAAGACGATGTCTCAAAACGGCCAAACTCACTGGTTTGACTGGAATCCTGCTGCTGCACAATTTTAACGTATTTTAGATGGGGTTATGATCGAGAATAAGCTTTATGTGGCCTCTCTGGTCTCACATAATATTTGCACTAAGTTTAGTCGGGCACCATTTGCAGTCATCAGCTGACATTTGAAGCAAAAAAAACAGGTAAAAAAAAAAAAAAAGCCGCGTCGCCGCACCACTTTTTGGACAAGCTCCATACCAGAAACCGGAGACTTTTTTTTTTGGCCTTAGGAATTATTCTAAGCGTTTTGAACAACCTTTTACTGCATGAAGCACTCTGAAAAGTGACTGCAAAAGGACAAACGAAACAAATATTTGTAAAATGCGAAAAAGCCCTGTGTTCTGTTTGCAAACAGACATACAGCTCTAGTTTTCTTCTTCTTTTTGATCTTTTTGGGTCCACCCCAAATCCCATTGACTTTGTACACGTTTTTGGTACCCGCCACTTTTGACCTAAAACAAAGTCCTTTTCCAATGAAACTTATCTCAGGTAAAGACCCTATAGTGAAGTTGTGTCTCGAAGAGTGACGTCATGATTACATCATCATGGGTCACGTGACGTCATCACAAACGTGCATATTTGGAAGGCCTATACAGAACAGTAAGTCCGATTGAGTTGAAACTCGGTATGTTGGTAAACCGGGATGTGTTATAGGTAAAAATTGAGGTGACGTCACGATGACGTCATCATGCGACTTAATATAATTTTTTGAATTTTTGGAGCTTTAAGCCATATCTCACGAACGCAACATGCAAAATTGAAAATTCTTGTTGTATTATGTTTGTGAGGTAATACGTGTTTGCCAAAAATTTAGAAAGAAGTGCAACGTCAAGATGACGTCATCAAAAATGCCATTTTTGAAAACACTTATAAGGGAAGGCCCAATCGTCATGAAACTTGGTGTAAGTTGGTGGATAGGTAGATGGTGTCACAAGTATGCAAAATCTGAAATGACGTCACCATGACGTCATCGGTTGATTTTTTATGATTTTTTAAATAGTTAAAATTTTATTGCATTTACAAAATTTTACACTTTGTTTCATTGGATTAACGTCAAACTTGGTGCACATCAAGACTACAATAAAAAATATGTGGACTGACAGGTATTGTTAGATGACGTCATCATGGGACACGTGGCGTCATCACAAACGTGCATATTTTGAAGTCCTATATATCTACAGAACATTAAGTCCGATTGGGTTAAAACTCGGTGTGTCAGTAGACTGCGATGTGTTATAGATAAAAATGAGGTGACGTCATGATGACGTAATCGTGCGATTTGATATGAATTTTTGAATTTTTGGACCTTTAAGCCGTATCTCACGAACGCAACATGAAAAATTCAAAATTCCTTTTGTATTTTGTTTGTTAGGTATATATACACATTTTTTAAAATTTGTGATGTCACGATGACGTTATCAAAAACGCGAATTTCCAAAACACATATAACAGAAATTCCCATCCTCATGAAACTTTGTGGATAGGTAGATAATGTCACAAGTATGAAAAATTTGAAATGACGTCGTCATGACATTATCGGTTGATATTTTTATGATTTTTTAATTTTTAAGATTTTATTCCGCTAACAAAATGTTACACTTTCTTTCATGGGATTTATGGTGTTGTTACGATGACGTCATTGCGGGACATGTAACGTCATGTTAAAAGGTGTAAATTTTGAAGTCCTATACATGTATGTGAAGAATTTAGTCCTCTGACTACGGTATCTAATTGCATATGGACAAAACACCCCCCCCCCAAAAAAAAATACGGAAAAGCCCTATGTTCTGTTCATTGAACAGACATAGCTCTAGTTTCAATCTTTTTTCATTCTAAATATCCACAGCCTCAAAATCAAAGCTTTTATTTTTTATATTCAAGATTGTGTCGGTTTGAGGTACTACCAGTACCAAGTGTGATTACTAAGAACTTCAATACAAAAACTTTTAAAAAAAATTGAAAGGGGCCTACCAAGTATAGAGAATATTAATTTATACATTTATGGCTAAGAATATATCCCCAACTTCATACTGAAAGAATTTATGGATTATACGACTTTATGTTCACAACATTGTATACATGGATACAAAATCACAGATTTCATCAATTTATTTTTTGACCATAATGTACTATGTTACGACATATAATCCAACATAAAATTTATTAGCATTTGTACAGTATGTAAAGCTTACAAATAAGCAATTCAGGGGAGTTTTATCTTTCATTTCCATTATTTCAAGCAACTGGGATGACCACAAAGATATTTTACACGTAATAAATAATAATGTACATAACTACATGCATATTTGAAAAGGTACATGTATACATACATATATACAAGATATCTTACACGTAATAAATAATAATGTACATAACTACATGCATATTTGAAAAGGTACATGTATACATACCGGTACATGTATACATGGTCATGTATATATGTAAATATGCATGTAGTTATGTACATTATTATTTATTACGTGTAAGATATCTTTGTGGTCATTCCAGTTGCTTGAAATAATGTAGGGGCTTATTCCACAGTAAAGTGTACATTGACGGACAAAAAGTCAATAAAGTCTTTCTTCACTTGTCATCAGTGAGGATTTATTAAGTGTGTGTTATTACAGATATATCAGAAATAGAACAACATACATTGTATGTTGGTAGATGTGTCTTGTTTTTATATTGAGTCATACCCAGAATATACCCCAAACTCGCACTGAAAAAATGTGATATTTATTAGGCTTGAAAATTATTTATCTAGTTTGAAGTTCTAATTCAAAGAAGTTGATACATTTGAAAAGCAGATATCCCATTATGTAAAAAAACAAAACAATACCATGTAATTGCTGCAAGCTTGCATAAAACATTAAATACAACCTGCAATATCATGCTTACCCACGTAACAGTGTCTGTCAAAACGTTACGTGGGTAATTCATACCCAGACGCCAGACCCCATAAGTTTAACATTTCTTTCTCTGCGCAAATGTCACTGCTGTTTAGCCTTAAGAATACTTTTTTTGATGAGAGTAATGATATCGTATCCCTACGATGCGTCGCAGCTGCGACATGTCCTGCAATCCATTTCACAAAACATGTCGTAAGTGCGACGTGTAGTAGGTGTATTTACAGCATAACTCGGTGACTGTTATATGTACACTGTACATGTATTTATTCAGCATACAGTAAATAGTCGTCTGATTTTCAACAAAGAGTCGTCGGATCAACTCTCGAAAAGTTTTTAAAACGTGAAACAAAATGGCGGAAGTGTGATGAATTTTAAAGGAAATAAGTTCTCAGTGGACTGTATAGGGACCCTATAGCTACTTTGAAATTTCAACTGCAGTATTCCAGGCTAGTTCATAATTATCCAATGCATTTTCTATTTACAACTTTACACACATTGTCTCGGTATTATAGTCTCGTGTTATGTAATTTGTATGGCATAAAACTGGCTAAGAAAAGGATGCTTCTTATTTTGCGATGACCACTAGACACGTCTTAACTTGAGAAGTGTCAAGTAAGTCACGACGCGTTCAACACATTGCAAGTTTCATGAAATGGATCATACCGACGCGTCGCAAGTTGCGATGTGTTACACGTCGTAACTCGGGTTACGACGCATTGCAGCGCTTCGTGAAATCGGGTGCTGCACTGTATCTTTAGTCCAACAGAAATTTCAGGTTTGTCCCCATTGTTACGATGGTAATCATGTTACGTTGGTAATTATAATATTGGGCATTTCACTAAATTTTCAACCATATTGAGGGCAGCAAAAAAATCCAGCCTGAAGAAATGTCCACAAAATACCCATATTAAAAATTAATAAAGTTAATTTCACAGCTCTAGCCATGATTTTGATGAACAAGAAGAAAATGTATCAGTTACTTAAAACTTCTTAAAATTACCCTCATAACAAGATACAGGGTCTGAGGTGAAAAGGGGGGCAGAGAAGAGATCTAGAGGAGGAACTTGTTCAAACTTTGTGATACTACAAATATATACTGAAAAATTAGTGCAATGAAGTGTTGAAAATCTCGCTTTTAATGGACATGTTTTTGTTGTCCGTCAATGTTACGAAGGTATGCCTATAGATGCCAATGTTCACCTTCACTGCAGAAATAACTCATTTTATTCACACTGTGAACACTCTTTAAACCCATTTTTTTTTTATCATGATTTCCTCGATTCCTTGGATTCCTTGCCTCTAAACCTGTTTTCCAGAGAGGGGGAAACCTTGTGTGGACATGGGCAAGTCCACACAACATTACTGCTACCTGGTTTATGTGGACCTCTTTTGTTTAGAGGTCCACACAGTGAATGTAATGCTTGTACACTTACCCCAGTCTTTTGTAACGTGTTCCATGAAGTGTGGTGACATGGTCTGGTGGTAAGCTACCAATGTAGAATTCTATTTTGGTTGCTTCAAAGAAACAAAGACAGATTTCATGTGAGATGATGTCATTAAGTTTAAAGAGGTAGTGGAATGCCTGAAGACATTTCCGTCATTTTTCGGGTATATATAGCCTAAGATGTGATTAAATAAAAACAACTATTGTGTCTGTCATGAAATGAATACAAAAGGTACATTTGAGAGCTGTTTTTCAGGTCCTGTTTAGGCCCGAACGTGCAATTTTTGCAAAAGTCGTCGTTGGGGGCAGCAAACAAAACATGGTAAAATCGTGATGTAATTAACAGGACTCCCTATGCAGCGTAGTTCCAGCGCAACGACATCATTTTAATTCAAACGTAGTTGGCAACAGTTTTTACCCCCGCAAAATTCTAATTGAAAAGTTCAGAATTTAAAAGGGAGATCTCCGTTGACTTTTTGGTAGTTTCTATTGATTATTCAGTGTTCTGATAGTTACACAGCATTTTATTTATAGATTGTGGATCGTTGTTTTACGGCCGACCATAGTAAAAAACGTCTAGTATTACATTAACATCGTTCACGCACGCTACGTTTGTTTAGCACGCTGAACAAGGTATGTAAAGCTGGAAATTCACCGGCGCTCTTGCGCCGCCGGCCCGCGGCCGCGGGGACGAGATTTTGACACCGGTCAAGTTTTGGAATTTCAAAATAATTTGTTGTTGATACGTGTACGAGTAGCGAACGCACTAGGCCAAGGCAAACCTATATTGCCTATAATTGCGTCAGTGGCCGGCTGTAATCACACCACATCTCTTTTGCAAAAAAATTCCAATTTTCCCGTCCGGGCACCAGTTTGTCCAAACTTTGTACACTAGATCAGATTTCAGCCAAACGGATAGAATGCTGATACATGCACTTGTACATGCATTTTGTACAGCAAGACTGTACAGCCTTCTTTGCTCAAGAGAGAATTTGGAATTGCTACACGACTGTACAGAAAAACAATGGTGGTGCTGTACTGACACGTACACCCAATTGCGACAGTATAAGGCGACCACGTGATGAGCCATTTTCCCCAGCCGGCCCCGGCCGCCCCAGCCCGGCCCCATAGATCTGCAGAACGGGGCGCGGACGGGACCACACACCAGTTTTCAAAGTGCATGTAAGAGAGCTATGTTTTGTACAGCTTCAAAATCCGGTAATTCTTTGTACAATGCCGTTAGAATTTTTAAAATCGGACATGAAATAACTGAGATATGATTTGTAAATAATTTATAGGGAAGACTGTTTTTGGACCACTTGTCTATGGCCAGTCTTGGAGAACCGTAGACCCGTTAAATTTCTACACACAGGTTGCCTATTTATTGAAAAAATGTGGCGTCCGTATATGGCATTCTTTCTTACGTTTGTTCTAATTTTTTTGTGGCAGGGTTCCATTTTTTCCTCGAATTACTTTTGATCGAATGACAGATTATCTGCCACTGGAAGTTCTTGGATAAAGTCTTATTTAAGTACTGAAAATATTTATAGTGCTCGTTAAATTTCAGGACTCGTGAAAGGTTTTCAACTGGGATTTCGAACATGTCGCAAGTCCAGAGATTTATGAATGGAGCAGGACTATGCATTGTAGCCACGTTAACGGGTAGACTTGACTCAAGTCGGAATTGCTCAAAGTCAGTATCTTAAAAAAAAAAAAAAACTTGTAAAAAAAAAAGAATCACAAAAATCACTTTATAGTTTACATCTTTCCAGAAGCGCGCATTCGATCCACTTCATGCCGTATAACAATGCGCGCACGCTGCATGTACATTGTACAACACGTGTATTATACGTATAGCATGTGCATGTGGTGCAAAAGTTAGCAATTCCGACTTGATCAATCTGCCATTAGCACCCCCCCCCTCGCGTGAACGCGCTCGTATTCATCGATGCATATGCAACACCATCCCAATGCATGCAGCAACGTCGCTTGACCAATCAAAGGAACCAATTTTTTTCGGTAGTTACGGAAGTCTGGATAATAATCTGCAAAAGTTTTAAAAACGAGCTCTTGGATGGAATTGATAAAGAACACGACATTCAAATGTTATTCAAAACAAAGGGGAATTTATATTTTAGTTAACCTGTAAAGATGTTGAGATCCATTGATAGCGCCACGTGTTGTGCGTACACAGAGAGCCGTTTCAAAGCATTCGAACGTACGCGCGCGTGTGTCTCTTGCTACTCCTCACCATGGGATGCGTGTGCATTCTTCGCGAAACTTTGGATGCGCAACTACACAGACAACGCTGATTGCGTGTTAGGAATAATATCAAAACAATCTGCACGCGTTTTTAAGAATAAAAACGCTCATTACCTGAAATACTGTGATATGATTGGCTGTGATATGATTGGAACAAACCAGCGCGTACGATTGGCAGATTGACTAAGTCTGGGTTGCTGCATCACATAAAAATAACAACATGTACATGTACGTTTTTAACATGTTGGTCTGAAGTGGACGCATGAGGGCGCGTTCAGCGAGTACAGTCCGTATGCGCTATGCGCACATTTATATTTAGATACAGACCGAGCGCAACCCAGACTTGGCCAAGTCTACGTTAATGGGTAGAGGTGAAACGGTAGGCCCATAATCATGTGTGGTCTCCTGGGCTTGTTTACAGCTTTTTTGGTCAACAATAAAGTAAATAATTTCAAACTTCGAGTAACTTCATAATTATCGAATCAATATGTTTTAAAAAAATGCAACGCGAGGACTTGACCAGGGCCTGCGATGCTGTTAACCGTACAACATTAGTTCTGGGACACGGCCGACCCCATCCACTGCCGTGATGCGTGCCGTACGTGTACATGTATTCAAAAACAGCCTGACGATATGTTGTCTCTTTGGACTGAATATTTACCACAATAACCTGGAAATTGTCTGTAAATCATGAAGAAAGTTGCGGTAGGACTTTTGATGCTCATCTCAATATTTTATAATGAACATAATACTTTTGAGTCCTTGGATAAAACATTGCTTTTTGTTTACGGAAACGTCGTAGACCTACCACTCATCAGAGCCGTGTTGCCTGGCGTTTTCAGCTGGACCAGTTGCAGTATCTGTGTTTTCGTGGTCTCTTTTTGGTCACATGTTGCTGGGGCGCGTGGGGCAGCAGTAAACAGCCGTTGTATAAATGAGTCCTGTTTATTACATCACAATTTTTCTGATTTTACGAAGTTGGCATGAAGAACCTGACGAATGTTGATTTCAATTATGCGCTCGCCGACCAACAAATTACTCAATGAATTTCAGTTTTATAAACATATAGGCCTAAACGCGCATTACAACAATTTGGGAGTTTGTCATTATGATATGGGTCTACTCTGCAATAAAAAAATATAAAAAACAAAAAGACATTCAGCATTCCACAACCTCTTTAAGGGGAGACAATGTTGCGTTATGTTTCACTTATATGCCTTAACATATTGGATTTACATACGTGCCTATTTCTTGTGCTCTGGCGATTGGTAATTGCATTTCTAAAAACAATTCACTTTTTAATCAGCGTTTAAAAAAACCAACACTTCAATACTACATTCAGGTGAAAGTTACAGAGATTACAAAGTGGCTTACCACAATCTTATTACCCCAAAAAGTCTCTCTACCACACATGTAAATCATTCTTTTTTCTTCCATATGTACATATGTTATAATACATTTTCCTTTGTACCGTAATTTCCTGCGGATAAGACGCGTCTTATCTGACTTTCTAGACCACAAAAACATCGCTGCGCCTTATCTACAGGTGCGCCTTATCTGGTGTCGCTTGAGTTCAAAGTGACGGTCTTTGTGTGAAGAATTCTTTCAATGCCGCAATCAATAATGCGGTCAACCAAGGCTCAACTCTCCAGACATTGTGACCGTATTTTCATTCCAACAATGCCGCGATGTGTTGATCCCCCATGATCGTGCTTTCATTCCAACAATGCCGCAATGCGTTGATCCCCCTTAGTGATCGTGCTTTCGTTCCAACAATGCCGTCATACAAACGTTTTTCTTTGTGGCCGTTTTTCATTCCGAAAATGCTGCAATCAGAATTACTTAAACGTTTGGAAATCGCATTCACTCAAGTTCTATTGTGTGAACGTTGAGGGTGTTTATTGTACAGGATATCTTCGAAGTCTGCTTTAGACTTAGGATAATATGAAGTACTAATGTTTATTTGTTGCACTTTCGTTTGTTTCATTAAATACAAAAAAACATTACAACAATTTTTAAAAAATATAATAAAACATTTTTGTTAAGTCTCCCCCGGTGTGACGGGATTATTTTCGTATGGTATATACATATAGGCGACGCTAGTTTTTGTATTAGTCACCGGTAGAGGGCGCAACATCTGGCTCGGAGGGACTGGGCAAGTCTACGAATCTGATCCAGCGTGCGTGTTCCAATATCTTCAGACAGCGCGTGGACCATCGTTTCTGGCCGCTGATTGGGCCGCACTGCATTAACAAAAGGCCAAGGAAGGCCAGGATCGGAAACCGCAAGGAAGCATGCACAGCGCGCGTTGGCTGAATGGATGAAGGTCGGTATCAATTTACATTGGTCTTTTCTTCATGGCTCTACATGTGACCAGCCAATGTGGTTACGGTTTAATTCATCCTCCGAATAGTCTGATCGTTCTAAGGCAACACAATGGCCCCTTTGTGGCGATGTACCGACACCGGGTGACGCCTGGTGTTCTTCTGTGTGCGGTCAAACATGCGTCTTATGCGGCGGTGCGCCTTATCTGGTGGTGTTTGAATTTTTTTTGGGTGATTTTAGGGACCTGCGCCTTATCCGCCGCGCGCCTTATCCGCAGGAAATTACGGTACATGTTCTTTTATCATACACCCTGGCCAATAGGTATGCTACAATATTTGTTTATTGTATTCAGTCATGGTAATCAAGAAACCAGGACAATGAACATGTTGAAAAGTTTTACCACATGTGCACCTGTTGCTTTCAAAGCATCATCTTGAAGTAGGATAATTTAAAAGGAAACATTTTTCAAAAGATCATATTTTGTTTTCTTTCTAAATTGAGTTTTCTCTAAGCAATAGTTCTAGGCTTTATTAAACACTCTGGTGCAATTTGATGCGATTTATACTTACGTATGAGATACTGATGAGCAAGCAACTGCAGTTTCCTAATGCGTGTTTTATCAGCAAGCTGAATAACAATCTCCTGTGGGTATAGGCAAAATCTTGGGGACTGCCAACCCCTTGCAAGGGGACTGTGTACCTCCAAGTCATGTAAACTCACACCAGTGTCTGATCCACTTGCATGCATTACACAGAAACTAATTTTGTGTGGCATTGTTCAGTGTTTCACTCTTAGCAGTCCTGAGCTCTCTCACAAAATGATGATACACTCAAAACAATCAGCAGAAGCAACTGAAATAGAAAAAAAGGTATGGATATGCATCAGTATAATTGATTTCTTATTTAAGCTTCCATAGCTTCTAAAACTAATTCATCAAATGAAATGAAGAAAAGACAGGGATAAATGTGCTCCTAAAGCAGAAGGTTAAGATGACTCATCGTCCACAAATACTTCTGTTTAAGGATTATCTTTTGTTCAGCTAATTAGGCAACAAACAAAAAAGGTGTGTTGCCCACACATTAAAAATATCAGGAGGGTCGGTCAGTCAGGCTTTTTGTTATACTTTTAATGGCCACTTGTTAGTTACCAGTTCCCTCTACCAACGTACACGAAACGTTAAGCCTACGAACTGTACAACCATCTATGGTATGTACATTTTATAACGAAATGCAAATTTATGGCATTACAAAGAAACGGTCACGGCAAGGCTGAAGTTTATTGAATTTTTTTCAAGTGAAAAAAAGAGAGAAAAGCCCAGACTGGAGATTTCCAGGTATTGGGGTCAGTCGGGTGAGGGCAACACAACATCTTGTTTTTTGGCCTTATGCAGCAATATCATGATACTCTATTCATGATACTCTAGCCCCTCCCCCTTTATATTTTATGGAAACGGTGACTGGTAAAAAGACCCCGTCTACCTTTCAGCATAGATGAGCGAGTGCCCTTTTTCACGTCTAACCCCCCCCCCCCAATAAAAATGACATTACTATGTGACTGGTTGTTGTAATACAAATATATATACATGTAAGTCTTGAGACTGACCTTGGTCTTAAGAATGGTTTTTGCTTCCCCAGCCATGATCTTACATGAAGACTAAGTAACATTTGAATTACCACTAATATACTAAATTTCTGACGTATAAGAATTTAACTTTTGGTTTGATGACGTCACATTATTCACTATTCAGATGTCCAACATCAACAATTGTTGATGTTACTATTGGGTACTGGATGATGGATTTGAATTTTAAAAAAGTTAAAATTTCCCTAGAATAACTTCCGATCTGATGACGTCATAATTTTGAAACTTCACAAATTAATTTGTTATTGGCCAAAGTATGCATTTTGGTAGTTTAAGCAAAATTGCGTATACTTTTTAACAACAACAAAATAATAAATTTACATGCCGCTAGAGTGTGCTTTTTCTGTTATCTTCATACCTTCTTTTGAGTTTTGCATTCCTGACTGAACATCTGATTAATTTGTTTGAATGTAATAAACTCTTTCCATTTCCAAGTTATGTGCAATTATCACAGCGCTTCTGGTAACACTGGAAGTAAAGGTCAAACAGCTTTGTGCCCAGGATAAAAAAAAATGTTGCCCCGGGCAGTATCTACTACCAGTGCTGTAGGGCTCAATTCCACTTTTCAACAGACTATGACTTGGACTTGGATTTTCGGGAACTGGATTCAGACCCTGATGTAAATACTTGAGGATGACCCGAGTCTACGACGAGTCCAACTATAAAATGACTTCAGTATTTTGATCTTCCTAACACAAGTAACAGTCATGAAAATAACTTTCTCCAATGGTTACCACATGCCAAGGAATTATATCCTAGAAATGTGTACATGTATTATTATTCCAATACTAGAGTTCAAAGTACAATGTTGTTATGCATCTCCTTGGCATGGAATATCGCCAAACTTTTGGACTACCAAACTAAAGACAATGGACACCCAGTCCATTCAATGGGGGATGCAAAATACAAGTCATGATGATGTTAGTACTCAAAAGGGCGCCCTCTAGCATCCGTCAAAGAAAATGTGTGTGTGTGATAAGCTCACCATGTTGTGCTTAATACGATGTCATTTAAACAAGTTTATGCCAGATTATCTCTTTATATTTAAAAAAAATGTAGATTCCATTGTAATACAAACTTTATTTTGTTTTTGATAAATCAGGCCGCGTTTTGGTCCCACTTAACTCTTTCAGTGCCAAACTCGTACATGTAGGAGGTATATTTGTTCATCCAAAAGTGCCAACCTCCAGCCTCGACTCCATGGGCGCGTGCGCGTTCCTTACACTAAACCCTGGCTGTGATGATGACATAAATGACGCTGATTGGCTATTCACAGCGAACTGCACGCGCATTTTCGAAGATTGCACGCCGGGCGCGCCCATAATGCGCTCGCGTGCTTTGCATGTAACGTAACGTACGGAAAAAAAATTGTTATTCAAAAGTCGCGATGCCTGTACGATATGGATTATGGCAGCCTCGTTTTTCGCAAAAAAAAACCCTGTATCTTCGGTTGTAAAGGGACGAAAGCGGTACGTACATTTAATACAAAACTTTGCTAAATAATGCAACGTCCAAACGTTTTGTTTGAAAGGATTGATTCTTGAAAATCACAACTTTTAACATTTTAAAGATGGCGTCGGCACGTAAAACGGATAAACTGCAGCCTAATTATAATGTGCCATATTTTGCCACATTTAAATTACACAATTCCAGGGGTTAAGATCGCGCAAGGCATGATGGGAAACAACATGGTGCAGCAAGATCGTACCCATGGGAAACGAGGTCGGCCAACCTCGTACATGTACGAGGTAATGTTCATTATTAAAATCGCCAGACCTCGTACATGTACGAGGTAGAGTAAACATGTTATCAAAAGAGGGCACTCTCGCTCTTTCTAATGGTACCATTTTCATGCATGTACGACCTGTATTTATTTTTTTATTCGAGTTCTTGCGAGAGGGCACCGCACTAAAACTCGTATTTTCTGCAAAATGTGCGGAATTCCCCTGTGTGCAGGACAGTGTTTCAGGGTGTATCACTATGTATCATGTGCAGGGGTGTGACTGACCACTGAAAAAAATAGCTGAAAACGGCTGAAAAATGTGTAAAAAAGCTGAACTTTTGAAATCTCCTATACTTTTGTACACAGCAAGTGAGGGAAAAAAGCTGAAAAAAAGCTGAAATCCAACACACACAAAAAGCTGAAATCAGCTTTAAAGCTGAGTTTTCACACCCCTGCATGTGACTACTTTTGACTTTCCAATATACCAAGGATATACCAGAGAGCAACAACAACAAATTTAGTGAGTAAAACTTATTTCTTCTTTTTTTTACAGAATTTTGAACAATTAACAAAAACGCTCGAAGTTGGGCACTTTAGGGTTAAACTTTTCAAATTTCGCGGGCACTGAAAGAGTTAAAAAGAAATGCGGTGAAAACTCGTGATCGATTTTGGCTTGCAAATGAGCACGGTACAGTAGATGGTAAAGCCAAATTGAATCACGTGATGATGTATCATTTTGTTGAATGGTGTAGTGGGGGCCAACGTATCACGTGATGGTTCCTCCTTTTCGTGATTGGTGTATGACGTCCAATAGGATTGCTTAGGCTGTTCTGTTTAGTAAACCTTGTATGTAAACAAGGCAGATGCATGCAGGTTTTTCCACAGCGGCCATAGAGAAGTGAGCAAATAAATTACAGAAGAATTTTTAAAGGTCAAATTTCAGTAATCCCTTATCCAATTTTAACAGCTATGAGCCTAGATATATGTTTTCTCTCACTTGTCACAAAAAGTGGCTTTTAAAAACCTTTAACAAATAAATCGTGTGCAGTCCCTACGACTGGGTGCCGAGTTGACAAGGTGCCGAGTTGGCTAGGTGCCTAGTTGGCTAGGTGCCGAAGTGACCGACATTCCATTAAACACGTTAAAGCATAGTTGTTAGTAGCCCAGGTTGGACGATGTATTCATTGCATTACGACTGACGTCCAGGGTATTAATTCCACTACCTTAGCGAAAAAAATTATAACACATTTTGTTCACATTTTTACCTGGTGGAGGAAGCTGAAATTTCGTTTACACATTCTTTGTGTCCAGAATTATGCATATATGCTTGGTGTAGAAAAGTCCTTGGGTGACATGTTTACCAAAATGTAAATCATAGATCCACACTTTTGTTGTAAACATCCTGTACAAACTCCTCGTGTGAATATACCCGCGCGCGTGCATGTGCGCCCTGCATACATGGCATAGTAACTGTGTTGCATACGTGCGCGTATTAAAGTCTTCACACGGGAGTTCATACTGAGGATATTTTCGACGAAAGCGTGGTCGTGGATCTGCAATTTTTGGGGGTAAACACGTCGCCCACCTGCCTACGGACATACATATCGTCAGACCTCCTAAAGCTGCGCACTCCTATTTATAAAGCACTCATGTTTAACTCGTGCATCCTCGAATTGACGTTCTTTTACTCGAACGTATCCTTTAATGCACAAACTTTAACCAGCAGCCAAACAAAATGTGGAAAATGAAGTTGTGTTTATGCCACAGCCACAGAGGAGTGTTTTATTCCGTGACTGTTTCCTGAACGGTGCAGTCTGTACACATCGCATAGCTGAGCTTGTCTTACATACGCAGTGTGGACTTCCGAACAAAAGACGTCCACATAATGTAGGTAGCAGCGACGAAGTGTGGACTTGCCCACGTCCACACAGTGTTTCCCCATTTCTGGAAAACAGGTTTAGAGGCATTTTTGGGTTAGGTTTATCTGTAGCAGAATGAAGAGAAACACTAAAGGGAATCATTGAAAAAAAATTGGGTTGTAAGAGTTTTCACAGTTTGAGAAAAATGAGTTTTTCCACTGGTGTTCCTTAACTACACGAAAAGAAAGGAAAGTCCACACTAGGTATGTGAAACAAGTCTGTGTGTGTATGCGATGTGTGCAGGCTGCACCATTCAGGAAACAGTTGCCGGCGTACGCGTGCACACACGATATGCCCAACTGTGAATGTGGGCGTGCGCTTGGCTGGCGCGTCGTACGTCATCAGTTTGACCTTAGCTGGAGTTACCCAGCCCTAAATTTTGTCATTGGGTTGTCATTTAGGGCTGGAGATAATTTTTCACGTAACCCAGCAGCGTAGGCAGGTCCCAAAAAAAAATTGCACTAATTGCAACTGCAATTCACCCCAAACTTGCCTGGAATAACCATATTACACAGGTCCTTGAAGTAAAAAACGATCCACGATGAAGATTTAGCCTACAATTGCAGTGAAAAAAGGAGGAATAACCGCTAACCTGACAACCTTGCAGGCATGGCCAGGACCGCAATTGGTTTGTGCACACAAAAAATTGTGTACAATGAATGGCAGTCGATTACCATGCACAGCGCGCTGATAGTGATACTAGTCGTTTTTGCCAGCTAGTTTGACCTCATGAATTTGAATCGCACAACAACATTCAAGATAGCGGTGACAGCTCGACGAGGCTCGGTTTCCGAATTGAAGGTGAAATTTCTCTTTTCTTCCCCAAACCAAGGCGCGGCCAAGGTGTGAACCTAACCACCACCATCATGACCATTTGTATTTTCACTTCCCACTGAAGACTACAGGGGCGCATAAGGTAGTTTGAAGACCGTTTTGGGGGTAGAATCTACTCCTAGTCTAGAACTATGAGGCTCCACTACGTGGAGCCTCATAGTTCTAGGATAGTCCGAGTAACTTGGACCCAACTTATCGCCTTTTTTAACATTTGGACATGGTCTGGCGATAGTAGCCTACTAATCGCCAGACCATGTCCAAATGTTAAAAAAGGCGATAAGTTGGGTCCAAGTTACTCGGACTAGTTCTAGGAGTAGGTAGAATCTGCATGATCTGAAGATTTTGATTGGGGGTACGAGTGAAAATGGTCAAAAAAAATTAGTAGTACCCGCAATAGGGCCATCGATCTCGGACTCTACTATCGCGCAGACCGTGTCCAAATGTTAAAAAAGCAGCGGCATATCTGACTCCTACTAGTCCTAGACTCCTAGTCCTAGTTTCTCGGTCTAGCTGCCCGCGACCGTCCATGGCGACAGCCACTGCCAAAAAAGTGTAGGCCTAGGTGCAAAAAGAGGAAAACAAGTTATTCTTTACCTATGATTTAAAAAAAAATCATCACAGTCTTCCTTTGAGGCTGAGCCTTGGGGATCACGTTTTGAGCATTTCAGCGATGTCAGTTGCAGTGCTGCAGCGAGCGTTTTTGACGGTGCGTGCAATGTCCCGATGGCCGATCGAATTGTTTACGTGTTGCCGGGCCGTAAACGTGACGCCAGAGCATATATAGCGCCCTCTTGTGTTATATCAAAGATTATGCTATCATTTTATTGGCAATGTCGCGCAAATTTTAAATAATGTATGCGCAAATATCAAATGTGCGCGTGGACACGAGACTCGACTGTGTGTGTTACTCTTGCGTCAAGTAGATCTGACATTGCGCACTCTGTAATTAAGTGGCCGGCCGCGGGTGCACCCCGCCACCGGTAAATAGGCCTAAATCCATCCGCCGAGCTCATGAATAAAAGTTATACCCTAGAGTTAGTTCTGAGCATGAAGAAAGGAACACAAAATTGGGAAATTGAAGAGATATGGTAATGAACCTCTGGCCCGGACTTGGGGCTTCCAATTCTGAGCATTTTAAAGTGGCGCTATTTTGCCATGTTGTGGAGGGATCGTTTTTCAAGATGGCTACTTTTCCGCTTTGAGGAAAATAGGGGTCGTCTTCTTTGGGTGAGAATATCTCGAAAAGTCAATTGTCAACCCACCAAAAAATGAAAAGAAAACGAAAGATGACATGTTGATCATCATTTTTCTGTGCAGCTTGAATACCTGTGAGAGTTTTGAATATTTTTAAAAGAATTGTGAAGTATGGGCATTTAGCACTGGTGGCTGTGAAGGGATTTATTTGCAAGCAGAGTGACCGTTTTAGCCGATTTTCGGCTAACTTTGACAGATTGTTTTGTTGAGTTTGACAGAAAATTTGACAATGGATTTTTTGGGCAGATTTCTGGCAGAATTCTGCAAAAATGGTTATTTAACAGAAAAACATATATAACAAATTTGAAAAAAATGTAGATTTGTTTTAGAAAAAAAGTCAATCTTTTCAAACAAACCCTTGCAAAATAGGACAGGTTGCCTTGTCTATATGCTGATCGATAGAGGTTCACTGCCGGAATCAGATTTCGTCATGACGAACCTTGTTTTGACTTAAATTTACGCAATTTTGTAACACCTTTATATGACTATAGATTGTTTATAATGTAATTTGAATCTTAATTAAGGCAATATTACAACATGTCAATGTGATTTTAAGTGTTTATAGTGTATTTCGAGTAATTCTTGGGAATTTGGCAGATTTTTGATAAATCTGACAGATTTTTGAAGTGCATTTAGCAGAATTTGGTCATGACCTTACGGTCACCCTGTTTGCAAGGTTGCATCCATAAAAGAGTGGTGTTAATGTCATGGGAATACTTACTTGGTATACTAGGTTGATTAGTCCTCTTCGCAATGGGCATGACTCTCAGTTGATTCTTAAAAATAGCCACAGTTGGTGCAGAAATTAGTGATTCTGGCAATTTATTCCAGTTTCTCACCACTCTATAGAGAAGAAGTGGCCTGCTAGCTTGGTTCTTGTACGCCTGACAAATAACTTTTTGGAGCGTCCTCTTAAATCTTTGTGGGGGAGGGTGAAAAATTTATCCGCTGAAGATTTGTATTTATAAGCCATTTATGATCTTATAATAGTTATATGTTTCAACCAAATCTGTTTTCAGCCTCCTGTCCTGCAACGACTCCATATCAATATCATCTTTGCACAGGCGTAGGCACCTCTTCTGCACCTTTTCTAACAAATTAATATTCTCTTTGGTAAATGGGCTCCAGGCAGATGATGCATATTCGAGTGCTGGTCGGATGAGAGCTTTATATAAGATGGTAACTTTATCCTCATCAAATCCGATGAAGCATCTTCTGAACATAGCAATCTTCTGTCGAGCCTTCTTCACAATATCTTGTGCTTTGTTGGGGTAAGAGTGTTACTGACTTTCACACCCAGGTCCTTTTGGTCATCTACTCCCTGCAGATAGACTCCGTTCAACGAGTACTGGTATTCCAGGGCTTTCTTTATGCGAAGCACAACACATTTCTCAGCATTGAATTCAAGCAGCCAAAGCTTCGGCCAGACAGCAAGTGAGTTAATTAAGGTCATTGTGCAGGGAGTCACAATCGGCAATGTTTGTAATTTTGGCGTACACTTTTGTGCAGTGGCGTAGCCAGGAATTTTTCAGTGGGGGGGCTGGAACATTTCATGGGGGGGCGTCATGTAGGGGCGTCAATCGCTTCTCAAAAGTGGGGGGGGGGGGACATACCTTGATCAGAACTGATGCGAGCGCAAAGCGCGAAGCCCTTACGGCGTGGGGGTTCGGGGCCCGCTTAAGGGCCCCGAAAAAATTGGATTCTAGATGTTCTGTGGTGTGATCTGAAGCAATTTCTTACCACTTTCCTCCATGCTTTAACTAATATTTTCTTAGCAAAAGATAATTATTTGAACATCGTTTTCGAGGTTGGAGTCATTGAATCAGCTATCGGTATTCTGAGCTATAGGTGCGGGGTTCGTGGCCCGCTTAAGGGCCCCGAAAAAAATTGGATTCTCGATGCTCTGTGGTGTGATCTGAGGCAATTTCTGACCACTTTAACCAATATTTTCTAAGCAAAAGATACATTGTAGTACATAATAGGGCCCTGTAAATGAGACACGAGTTCAAAAATCGGGGGGGGGGGGACATTTGATATTGTGTCCCCCACCCTTCAAAAAGTAGGGGGGGGGGGGGGGGGGACCAGTCCCCCTGTCCCATGGCGTCATGTAGATCAATGATAATTTTTTTAGAAACTCAAAATCTCAGTGGGGGGCGACTGGGGGGGGGGGGGGGGGCGACAAGGTTGGGGGGGCGACTGGGGGGCGTGGCTACGGCACTGATTTCAAGGAATTTTAATTGGTCTATTATTATTATTTACCTTATATGAATGGAGGAAAAAGTTTGTGCGTGGCCGATTCGCGTGATATCACTGACTGAAACTGTGTGACCCACGGACCATCTGTCTATAATACGTGTTCCGTGGTGTGAGCGAGCAGTACAGTGGGTGTTAATACGCATTTTAGATTATGTCACGCCGGTTGTCAGCTTACTGGTCCGCGGTCGCCGGTCGAAGGGTCGTTTCTCAGTGGTCATCATGTGGATCATTCGCGACTATTTAGATATAGATCAATGATAATTTTTTTAGAAACTCAAAATCTCAGTGGGGGGGCGACTGGGGGGCGACAAGGTTTCATGGGGGGCGGTCGCCCCCCCCCCACGCCCCCCCCCCCCCGCCCCCCCGGTGGCTACGCCACTGCTTTTGTGTCATCGGCAAACAACTTTGCAGTGGTGGACACGTAATCAGGTATGTCGTTCACATACAGCAGGAACAGAATTGGTCCTAAGATGGATCCCTGAGGAACTCCGCTGGTCACTTTCTTCCAATCGGATACTCTATTTCTCAGCACCACTTTTTGTCTTCTATTGCTCAGGAAACCATTTATCCAAGTCAGTACATGTCCTCTTATACCAAGATGATGCAGCTTGTAGAGTAGACGTTTGTGCGGCACAGTGTCAAACGCCTTTCGAAAGTCTAAATAGACAGCGTCGACACCAGTTACAGCGTCGTAGGCGGAGGTCCAATCGAAAAGACATTCCAAGAGTTGTGTAACACAGGAGCACTTCTTTTGGAACCCATGCTGCTCACATGAAATGAGGCCGTTGTTGACGATAAATTCCATGAGCTGCATGGTCATAAATAATCTTCTCAAGAAGCTTCACCACCTGACTAGTAAGCGACACAGGTCTATAATTGTTTGGAATTAACCGGGAACCTTTTTTGAACAACGGCGTAATATTGGCGTCTCTCCAGTCCTGTGGAACCACTCCAGTCAGTAAAGATTTGGTGAAGATCATGCTGAATGGAATGTCAAAATCGGGAACGTTTTTTATAACGTTTACGTGCAAGCCATCTGGACCACAAGCCTTGTTAAGATGTAGCTTCTGTAGCTTGGCTCTCACTGTGTTAGGAGTAACAATAATATTATACAAGTTGGCAGTAGAGACTCTGTCGTTGTAATGTAGTGAGCTTGTCACTAGCACACGGATAATAGTTGTTGCTTCGATGCTTGCTTGGTTTATTGTGGCTCAATACATCTCAGTACATCACATGATGTTCTATGCTTATCAAAGGGCTACATTATTCTAGGGTGCAATCTGATCCAAGTTGGGCCTTATTCATTATTCATTTAGTAAGTTGGGGTTCATGCATTCCAATGTGGATGAGGTAATGTCTGGGTTTGGGTGTGTGGTTTCAGAGCACTAGGTGCCTATACATATAGCTATCATGTAAGGATACTACATCCCTCCTCACCTTAGAATGGAACTGGCTAATATACAGCGAGTGAGATCTTCTAGCAATGAATAATATAATGGTGACTTCAATCTAGATCTAATTTTTGAAATACAGTTGATCAATGTAAATCTAAATCTAATTTTATACAGTTAATTGGTAGAGAAATGTTCAGTGTTCGATGTTCAAAGTTCATGAACATGATGAAGCAGTAGATCAAGTTAGTCTGGTTTATAGTATGAAAGTATGATCATTGTACGACGGTCATTGTACAGGGTAGGCTTAAAGAGATTCATTGCAGTATATACAGTTCAGTTCAGTTGTTCCGATGATCGGTGTTCAAAGTTCAGTTCAGTTGGCTCCAAAGAGTTGTTGCGGTGTTCTAGTTGTGCTGCACTCTCTTTCCATTATGGATGCAGATATTATTGTTGGCCCACTTTGCCAGGCCATAGTTGACGTTTTTTCGTCCATGACTGGTCATGCCGGTCGGAGTTGACGCTTGTTGGTGATCAGAGTTGAAGCTTCAGAGTTGACGCTTGTCGTTCAGAGTGAAGTTCGTTTGTTTGGTGGTCAGAGTTGACGCTATCATTCGTTTGTAGTTGGTCAGACTTGACGCTCGTTTCTTGGTGTTGTGATTAACACGCTCGTTTGTTCTTTGGCATGGTGTCGTTGTTAACACGCTCGCTTGTTCTTCGGTGTTGTTTTTAACACGCTTGTTTGTTCTTTGGTGTCGTTGTTAACACGCTTGCTTGTTCTTTGGTGTTGTTGGTAACACGCTTGTTGTTCTTGCCGGTGTTGTTGATAACACTCTTGTGGTTGGCTGAATCATGTTCGATTTAGAACACGTATTCGTCTTCGGAGTTGCTATCCGGATAGCTTGGTGGGTTGTTGCTGATGATGGCGTTGGACATGTTTGGTGCCCGTCTGTGCTGATCTGCCACGTCTGTGCTGGTCTGCTTTCCTTGACTGGATCTCGTTGTAGGCATTTTTGGATGCTGTGATCCGCGATGCTGAGAATGCTCATGGCAAGGTGAAGATAGTGCCTGTGGCTAGAGGTGGTCTGGTGCAGCTTTGTGACCATCTTTGATAGGTTGATATCCTCCTGATTTTGATCCCATATCCTCGTCGCCAATGTAATGTAGTGAGCTTGTCACTAGCACACGGATAATAGTTGTTGCTTCGATGCTTGCTTGGTTTATTGTGGCTCAATACATCTCAGTACATCACATGATGTTCTATGCTTATTGTCGGGAAATGAAAATATGTGTTATACATGTTACATGTGTTTGGCTTCTTTATGTTGTTTTCTATCCTCAAGGATACATGAACTCATGAAGCTTTTCACCACCAAAATGGGCTGGTAATTGGTATGGCCTCCTGCCAGATCACTGTCTCATTCTTGGGTCTAACCAAACCCTTTGTTTTAGAGAGATTTTCCCATGCCCATGTCTAGCTATTTTTGGTAGCAAGAATGTCACTTTCACTAGCTGTGGAGACAAATCAATTAAGGTTTGGAAGTTGTTGGGACCTGGAAGAAATCTTGCTGATCAGCAGATTCACCCAGGACTCCCTGAAACACTAGCGGATCAAAAAGTTTAGATTCAAATTAATTAAGAAGGAAGGAGTATTCAATTTAATATGTAGCCAATCGGCAAATGGATCGAAGTGTCCATCACCCAACTAAAGTGGGTATTTAAGGTCCCGCATCAGGGCCAAAAGACCAGTCTGCACCCACATCCAGCAGGCCACTGAAGCCAAGCCAATGTCGTAGCCATAGAGGGGTGAGTTCTTGTCTTGTTATTTTGAGTTGTAATTTCGAGACTTAGTTTCTAGTTGAGAGCTATTTGTGTTCTGTAGTTGTGATGTTGATTGAAGTTCATTCTTATATTTGGTGGTTCATGGTTTTAATCATTTGTTTGCATTTCTGTGCATGAAGTTATCTGCAGCTTGAGCCATTATTGTGTGAATAATTGTTGCACTTTTATTGACTCGAACCATGCTTGAACTTAGAAATTTACAATAATAGGTCCGGCAGTCAACTTAAATTGATAATATGAATTGAACATGTATCTTAATTAGTGTATCATTGATAATATTGTGGAACCATTTGTTCAAGCATTATGTCATTCTTTTGTATATAGCTTCCAGCTGCACAACTGGAGTTGAAGTGATGTACATGTAGCTGTACAGGCTGTTCTTTAACTTTATCCAGGTTAGCTCTTGATTCGTTGTGTTCTTGATCCACAATCAAATCCCAGATATTGAGTACTGTATTTTTGGAAACAATGTTTACTCAATTCCAATTGATAGGTCAAGACAGTGTATTTATTTGATTCTGTTTTCTAAGTTGTGCTGTAGCTAATGCACTATGTTATTCTGATCTTACGGTACAGTCAATGTTTTGCTCCTGGTACTTTAAACGCCTTGAATTGAGGACAAGGACAAATCTCTGTCTAGCCCAAACAGTGTTATGTAACCTGTCACATTCCATCTATTGAGCACCAGCTGATGTACTGTTTATAGTGTTTTGGTTACCAGTACTATGACCTTTGAACTGTGTGTTGTTGTCTATTGTACAATGACTGTAGTAGTAGTATTTTAAACCCATGTTTTGAATTATTTCTTAATGTACAGGGGTCCGTTGAAGACCGTCTGTCATGGACCGGTTGTAAATTCCGTCAAGGACCGTCCATTAACCGTCTGTAGAGTCCGTTAGACTCTAGGTTCATCGAATAAAAGTTCATCAGAGAGACATCGCAGAA